GCGTAAAACTAAAATTCATGCCAATATTTTTCCATGATTTATAATAATTGGAGTAATGCAAATGCATATTTTCTAAAAAAAGTCATTTTTAGTGAAATTTTGCCGGGAATGGGGCTTTAAGGCCCAATAAAAAAAATTATTAGTTTGTCACCCTCGCACGCATGTCTTTTATGGTACTGGGAAAAAAAATGTTGTTGAAAAAAATTTTTTTTTTTTTTTACTTTTTTTGAAATTTTGTTTCTTTTTTTTTATATATTTTTTTCATTTATTTTATTAAATAGTTAGTAGATATTGTTTGCATTATCTAAATCATGTTTTACTTTGAATATCAATGCACCAGCAAACAACCCAAGGGTGATATTTGGCTTTAGCAAAATAAAAATAAAAAAAAAACCTCCTCCCTCATCACTTTTCCTGCCCAGATAGGGTGATAAACTAATAATATTTTTTATAGGGCCTAAACTCTATGTAAATCAAGACACATCTATCAGCACTTCAAGGGCCAAACCTTCTGATAAGAAAATAAGAAATAAACAAGGAGAAGATACAGCTGCCTTTTTTGACAATTAGCTCCACCCAGAGTGCTACACGCGTTCTTTTAGCCACTAGCAAAATACTAAACTTTTTTTTATAAGAACAAAATATAAGAAAACTGAGGCTGAAATCTCTTAAAAATTAAGAACAAAATAATGAACAAATTGAGGCTGAGGTAAAATGTCAAATGAGGATTTAATTTTTTTTTTACATAGAAAACCAACAAATCTATCTGTACTTTATATGCAGTAGGTGTTACTATGTAATACCCTCTATAATACAGTAAAGTAATATACTGACTGTAAAATAATAATTTTCTATGTTTGAAAATTGTGTATAAATAAAAACAAATTAAGAACATTTTGAGCCTGAAATCGGCCCAAGAATAAGAACACTGAGTCTGGGCAAAATTCTACTGATTCTTATAAAAAAAAAAAAAGAGTTTACTACTTCTAGGAAAAATATTTAATTTATAATATTTAATTTGTATATTTTAATAATGTTTAGGTTCCTAAAGGGTATCAGGTCAAAACAGCAATAAACCAAAACAGCAATAAATAAAACAGCAATAAACCAAAACAGCAATAAACAAGTACCAAAATGGCAACAGACCAAAACGGCAAGAATACAGATGACTTCGGTCGCAATTCACAGGCGCAGTATAGAACACCCATGTACATGCTAGTGGTTTATTTAAGTTTGGGAGGTAATTAAAAGTTTCCTGTACTTTTAAACGGGATCTTTTTGTAGTACGTGGGAAACCTGTTTGTCTTTGTTATACAATATTTAACAAACGGTAGGCCTATACCCCGGGTATTCAACCCTGGCTGACTCTTTTTCAGTAGACGTTTAATTCGGATTCGGAGGTTCAAATTTCAAATTGGATTGTTCACATTTTGTGGGTGCACCTTTAAGTGCTCCATACACCGTGGTCATTTTGGTTTTTTGCCATTTTGACTTAAATTGCCGTTTTGGTCCATTGCCATTTTGGTAAAAAATTGTTGCTGTTTAAATACTGTACATACTGTCTGCCACAAAAATTAGGAAAAATCTCAAAAATTCAATTCCAAATTCTGAATAGCTCGCAATCAGAAAAAAAAAAGTTTTCAATGATTTACAGACATTTTAATACATGTTTTTGTTTCACTTCACAGTGGCAATTTCTTTTAGCTGTTGTTGGTTTTGAAATTATTTTTTTTCAATTGACTGGAAATATATTTTCTATTAGAAATTTGCAATTTCAACTTACTTAAATTAACAAATTAAGCTATATAAAATGGAATTGATTTTTATATTAGTTTTGCTCATGACAGATATAATGCATATTGCCATATAATATTCAACCATTATTATGTATAAAGTATTGTAGTTGGTAGACAAAATATACTGACATAGTTCACATAAATTAACACTGGTAGCACAATAAAGTTTTACCAGTGTTATTTTATGAGTCTAGCAGACTAACATGACTCTATCTACTATAATTTTTAATTAATTTCCCTTTGCAAAACTTGCCAGAAGAATACTGGTGATGCAGTTTAAAAGAATGCCCTCGGGTATTTTTTAGAAGTGTTAAAAGTGTAGAAACATTGTCAAAGCCTTGAACAAATCTAAAAGCCTAAAGAATATCATTATCAGCTCTCATCTCTGTCTACAATAACTTCATTTGGTAAATTTAGTTAAAGTGTTCACTTACCAAGATCAGGCATGTTTCCATTCTCAGTTGACATTGTTTGGCCTGGAATGAAAAGTAAGAAGTAGTTATTGATATTTAAATCGTAGGCCTACTCTATGGTACACTACTAGGTCCATAGTATAAGGTACTAGGCCTACACCTTAATTAAAAAACAGACGGATGTAGTGTACTGTATTTTGCATATCCATGCCTACCTAAATTTAAGTATAGTTTCATTTTGTCTGTCTTAGGTTTTTAATGGCAATTTTATTATATTCAAACTTACGCCTAGGCCTATCCTTCGAAATCACACCCGCAGTTTGAATTGAATTGAAGCATGTACCGGATTCTGCACCACCACTTAACACTCAACAGTCACTGGGCCTAGGCCTAGCCTAGGCCCCTAGCCGACTAAAATTTAGGGAAATGAACTATCTAAATGAGCATACATATTCGTTCCTCTTACCAAAGCTAGGCATAATATCAAAGAAATTTAACTGTGATGGTAGTCCCGCACTCTGCTGAGAAATATCAGCGATGATGCCTTGGTCTACTTCGGCTAAGTTAGGGTTGAACCCATTGGAGGAGGCTAGGCCTTCTAAAGTCTTCATCTGATTCATAACACAACGAGTGAGAAAGTAACAATAAAAGTATGTTTATGTTTCGCTCACCTTTTAAATACAACTTGGACTTCCCAACTACCAATCAATGGTCGTATGGGGGGTTGGTCTAGGAAAGTTTAAAAATAGCTTATCTTTGTCACCGGCTATCTGGAATTTCCAGTCAATAACAAACAAACAAACAAGGACGAAACTCAAAATTCTAACTGCTCGCGCCCACAACTTGATGACGAGACAGCAGAGAATTTTAGAGATCAACGCAAATATACTAGGGGAATCCCCTAAACTCTTCCCTCCACATTTGATTGGTTAGCATCAAAGATCTTATAAACACAAGATAGCGATTTATTTCTATTGGAGGAATTGAGAATCAGGAAGGCGGGAGTGTTGAACAGTCATAGAGGGCGACTTCATTGAATTTTCTATTATTATTATTATACTCTTTGCTGTTCTTGAGAGCGTACATAGGTATACAGTAGTGTACAGCCACAATGGGGTTGGGGGTGGGGGCTGTAGACACTATCGTCTTTCACTAAGTTGTAATAGTAAATGCGGTTGGAGGAATGATGAAATGAGTCATAATCTAAGTAAGACAAAAATGAAGTCTTCAACAGAAGCCTAGGAAATATGATAAATAATAATAATAATAATAATAATAATAATGTTATATTTATAGGCCTATAGCGCATATTGCACATTGCCCCTATGCGCTTTAAAAAGAAAAAATATAGGCCAAACAGAGAAAATGATGCCCATGCCTAGATGCCCATGCCTAGATGACCTGTCCTAGAAAGAACTAAAAACCGTTAGGCGAAGGAGCCCCGGATAACGTAATGAAGTTACCTCACAACGTTCGATACACAACTCGCCTTCACATTTAACAGTATGAACCCAGCGAGTCGCCTGCGGCCCTACAACCAACACTCTAGACCGGGAGTCCAGAAAATTTAACCATGTGAAAAGAGACAAAAGCTTTGATGGTCTGGTCATGATAGTATAGGGTTAAGATATCAATATTCAGTATTGCTGCCGGGGCACACTCCTGTACAAGCGGGCTCTGGGAAATGAAATAGGGGATTAAATAATGCATTTAATTATGTGGAGAGAGACATGGATAAAAATAATTGGATATTACTCCCAGGTAGAATACTTGCAATAATGTCACAGGTGACAGCAACATTTACCTGTACATGGCCTTAAACAGTGACATTAAAAAGGCCACGCCCAAATACATTTAATCATGTGAGACACGGATGATTTTTTTTTATTGGAACTATTATACATTGGGGTAACAAAAATACCAATGACAGCAACTTTATCCTGTGAATAAGCCCAGACAGCAGCCCCAACTTCAAGGGACTCACGGGGGTCTTATATAGTAGCAATATGATGAAATCAAGCAAAGAGGTACATGAATGAAACCAACTAGGAATTACTACTTGTACATTGTAGAATGCTGAAACACCGATGACAGCAATTTTTTCATGTACTGACCCTAAACAGTGACTTTAAAGGCCACGCCTAAATGACATTAATCATGTGAAGAGAGACACGGATGATTTTTTTTTATTGGCACTATTATACATTGGGGGTAACATAAATACCAATGACAGCAACTTTATCCTGTACATAAGCCCAGACAGCAGCCCTAGGTTCCCAAATGGACTTATATAGTATGATATGGTCGAATCTAATAATGATATAGTAGAATGCAACTGAAACACCAGATTATGACACAGACAGTGGTTCTGGAGATCAACTTCAGAATAAAACAGGAATTAAGTGAAGGATGGGATCATTTACACTGGAACTTTTAAACATTGGAAAGAAAATCCAATTGACAGCAACGACTACTTTAGCTATAGATTTCCGTTTGATAATAACATTTTGTTAAGCTCTGTTCTATTTTCTCTATGGTTAAACACTGACTTCAGATGAAATACAACAATACCATAATACAATCTCAGTAACAGATATTTATTAGATCGGATTAAACTACAGAACATGAATTTTCTATACATGATAAATGGTACAGCGTCAAGGTGTATTTCAATCAGATTGTTGAAAAATATGTAATCATAGGATTAGAACCTGGTAGCACTTTATTGACTAACATTATAAAATGTATTAACGTTTGACAGCAGTCTCTTCTGGGTTACAGATGTAACTGCATTATACTATAGTTAGTCAATAAAAGCGATACCAGTTTTGAATTTTACATTGCTTCTTACTATTACATCAAATGTGCCCACCATATGGATTATGGATTGACAAATCAAGTATCTATATGATTTTAATATATTGCATACACAATTGAACTGCGGTATTGTACACTGCGGTAACAATGTGTTTGTAGCAGTACGATACAAAGCACAAGCAAGAAACACTTAACTAATAGTTAGAG